TTCCTTCAAGAGGGTGATGCTAAGGGCAGAACTGCTAAGCTGCAACCTTTGCCTTGTCCCAGAGGATCTGGAGTCCTCCAAAGGCGTTGCCTGCTGCCCCCGCATTGCAGGCTTGGCTTGGGTGTATAGTGCAGAGTGGCTCTGCTCCGATCCTGTCCCATATTGTTCTCACAGGAGGGGACCTTCTCTGCCTTGCTTGAATCCAGAGGGTTTTGCTTTTCTCCAGGGTTTCAATAACAGATTGTGCTGCCATCAAGTAGTGCTGATGCTGGTGGGGACTGCACATGTGCAGTGCCCCTAAGCCTTGGCCAGCAGCAAGCAGCCACTCTAGAGCCACCATTGCTTCACGTGGCCACCACCTCTGTTCCTCTGTCCAGGTACTGCCTCGTTACAGACACGTCCTGAATGAGAGCATCCATTAATAGATTTGTAGGCAGTTGCGGGGTCTGTCTGTACAGAGGTGGGAGCAGATGTTGGCAGCAGCTCTTGTATAGAGATGTCTTCTCTACCTCAGAGTGGAGAGCAGTGCTGCACATCCCTGGGAGCTGCTGGGAGCATCTCATACATGTCTCTGTGTCTCTGCCTCAAACAGGGTGTTCGGTCAGCACAGCTTCAGTGCCACCATCCAGGTTGTTATGGGCTGTGATGCGGTGCTGGAGAAACAAAAGCAGCCCAAGGATTTTCCCTTGCATTTGAGAAACCTTGTTTTTATCAAAGAAACTGATCTTCAGTGATACCATGGTCTAAACAAGCCTAAAAGCTGTTAGCTGCACTGCAGGTAGTGGGATGAATCTGTCCTGGAGAGCATTGTGCTGCCTGGGACCTCTGGGCTTACGGGCAGCAGCATCACCTCTGCTCCTGGGTCACCTGGTGTATGGCCTGGCTGCCATCCGCCGGCTTGTCCCTGGATCCCATTTTTGCTCTTGAGATACAGAGTGCCCTGGAGATAGGGCCTGTGAGGTCAGGGAAGGCAGCACAGCCTGATTCGGCTGCAGTAGCATCACCAGGAGCATGGCCACGAGGGGCCCGTGGCTTTTCCATGGTGCTGAAATCCTGGGATGTTGAATTTCCAAGCTGAGGGGTGCTGCAGAGCCAGACCCTGTATGTTAATTGCAAGTGTGGATGGTGAGACCATCTGCTTTAAGGTGGAAGGGGACTGGGGTGCCCATCCCTATCCTGCAGCACTGTGCTTGCCCAGCTTGGGCTGCTGGCCTGCCTGCAGCTGTGGGATCTGACACAGGTCCCTTCAGCACAATTCCTCTGCATGGAGGTGTTGAAACCAAAGCATGCTGAGGATCTGGGGCAAAAGTTGTTTCATTCTCAGACCCATGTGGCACTTCCTCCTTGCTGTCAGCCCTGGGGTAGCTGCATCCTGCCCAGCTCAAGGTAGTAGCCTCCCTTCCCAGGTCTCTGGGTTCCCTGGGAGGAATTGTGCTGTGCTCAGGGACAGCCCTGTCCCCTCTGGTATTTTCTACAGGGGGACATGGGATTCCCTGCAGTAAGTGCCCTGTGATGCTCAGAGCCCCAAAGAGCTGTAAGACCCACTGTCAGAAGGAAATGTAAAGGCTTGGCTTGAATTTGGCTTCTTCCATCCAAATGGGGTACTTGGAGTCAGGCTGAGTACTGGGGTCCTGTCATGGCTTGGCTGGGTGATGTGAGATGTGCTGAGGGGCTGGAGCGGCTAGTCTTTTTTAACTGTTTCTGAGAAGAGCTGCTGGAAGAGCAGTGGCTTTACAAGCGAAACTCCTAGCTGCCAGGTGTTCCCAACCTGCGCTGTGCTCAAAGCTGGTTGGGGAGGCTGGACGGGGAGGTTACAGGTGAGAAATCAAAGCCTCTGCATTCCAGTCCGGGTTGGTGCTTGATGAGGTTCATCAGGGACTCGGCTGTGCCATGCAGCAGGAGATGCCTACAAGAGCGAGAGGCTGGTGGGTTTGGGGATGGTCCAGGCCCAGGTGCAAGCCACCCAGCCCTGGGTGTGTTGGGCATCTGCCTGCCCCATAGGGGACCGTGTTCTGGTGAAGCTATGACTTTAGATGACCAGGGGCTGGGCTTTCAGCGCTACCATTTCCAGTCCCTGGCAGATGGCTTGTTTGTGAGCCCCTGGGAATGTGGGGCTGCAAAACAGCCAGCAGCGATGTATTGAGAGCAGGTCACTTCAAAGTGGTGTCATCCTGTGCTGGGACAGGGTAACAGCTGCCTGGTCGCAGCGAGGAGTAGGGCCTGGCCGCCTTGGCTCTGTATGCTGCTTGCCAGAGCTGGTGGGTGCAGTGTGAGGGCTGAGGTTGTTTCTATGTGTGTGCCAGTGAGCTGAGGTCCTGGGTGCTGGCTGAGCAGGGCATGATGGCTGAAGTGGCAGGTGACCTGGTGTCCACATGCATGTGGCAGAGGATGGGGCTCACAGTGAGCTGGGGGTACTGCTCAGCCCCACAAAAGCTGGATCCTGGCTACCTGAGGTCATTTGTCTTCCAGCCAGGACACCCAGGCAGGGTGGTTTGGCCAGAGTGCTGAGGGGACCCTGGCAAAACCAGCAGTGAACTGGAGCCTGCAAAGACCTGATCAACCTGTTGTAGCCACAAAATCTATCTTGCCTGCAAGGATTTTTGTGTCTTCCAGAGTAGTCCCATTCCCAAGCAATTGGTGTGGCTGGGCATGATCTCTAGGGTTGGCGCAGATTCTTTGTCCATTGCATAACCAGAATTTGGGGGAAAGATGTGTCCAGTAAAGCTTCTGCAGCTGGTCTGGTCTCTGCTCTCCCTGGGCAGTGGCGCTGCGGATGGCTGAACCCTGCAGGCAGTTGAAGGTGTGTTGCAGGTGTTGGGATCTAGGATAGCTGGAGAGGAAAGAGGAGACATCATGTTTCCACCATTCATAGTTCCTTCCAGAGAGCAGCTGATGCAGGAGGAGCTGAGCAAGTTGCAGCATGTTGAAGGCGCTTCTGTGGGTGCCAGGACAGCAGGGACCATGTGCAAGACATCCTGGACCACAACGTGTCATGTTCCCAGCCTGGCCTTTTTGTACAGCTTGAGTGGTTTTGTGTTGAGCCCTTGGCTGTGGGCAGCCTGAAGCCATGGCAGGGGAAGGATTTGGGGCAGGGAGCAAGGCTGTGTTTTGCTCTCATCTTGCAGGGGAAAGCAGAGGTGACTCCTGGCTCCTGCAGCCCAGCTCTTCCTGGAAGAGCTCCCATCACACATGAACCATCTCACAGATGGCTTTCACACAGCCAGCAGTTCCATTGATGTGGTCTAGGATCCCCAGTGGAGGTACCTGCAGCTTCCAAGAGCTCTTCAGCAATTGCTGTCCACATCTTCCAAACAAAGCCTGATAATTCCTTAAAACCTGGTCCATAAAGTCAAGTTGTGTGTTGAACCTTAGTCCGCAAGAGACATCCCCCATGGCAGCCAGTGGTAGAGGGATTCCTGCCTGCTTCTCCTCCTCTCCCCCTGTGCCCTCCCTCCAGTCCCCAGTGTGGTTTCTGGGTGCACTGTGGCTTGGAGACCCCTTGGCTGCCAGCCTTTACTGATGAACGCAAAAGAGAAATGAAAAAGGGAAGCAGTGTGTATTGCAGAACTGTTGGAAGAGGTCAGGAAAACCCTGGGGACTCGCTGACGTGGTGGGTGTGGAGGAGCTGTTGGCTCAACCAGGCACAAAATTCTGCTTGTCAGAAAATGGCATAAATTGCCTTCCCTTTTTTGAGGTCTGTGTTAACTGAAATAAAACCCAGAAAAGTTCTAGAGAAACCGCGACTTTAAGCTGGTAAAGAGTTACGGGGATTAGTTTGGCCATGGTTGTTGGTTCCCACAGGTTCCTGGCACTGATGGCTAAAAGCCCCAGTGCCATGTTATCCTGGTTATCGAACCCTCTTCCCCATCAGCTTCCCCAGTGTCCTGCAGCAGGGCCTTCCACAAGGATGCATTTCAAAAGCAAAGAGGATAAACATGTTTTGAGTCCCAGTGGGGCTGCCTGCCAGGAGGGAGGCTGCTAGAGGCAGAGGGTGAAGGGCTCTGGCAGCTCTGGCCTCCTGCCCCAGGGATGCCCAGAACATCTTGCAGTGTTGGGATTTGGGTAGTAAACTGGTGGGGTGGGCTTTAACAGACCAGCACCATCCTGACCCTCCAGTACAGTGCTGAGCACACAGGCTGGCAAGCCAGCATCTTGCAGCAGTGGCAGAGGGACAGTTCCTGCTCACCACTCTGACAAGTCTAATCTAGTTTTGCAGTGGTGCTGGTATGGTGCAAATCCACAGCAATTTCATGCTGCTTCTGCCTGACGTGTCTTGGGGTTGTGCTGCTGGAGAAAACATGTTGGCAGCTCTTGGGGAGGGGGAGAGGGGACCTGTTGCTCCCCCTACAACATCCAGCATGAGCACCTGGCCCTCATGCATGGGCAGGGTGCAGGGGCTGAAGGACCCATGCAGGCAGGCTGCAGGAAAGCACAAGTCATTCTGGTTTCGGCTAGGCTGTAAAATAATCCGAAGCAGGAAACATGCTGGAGCCCCTGGAACTGAAAATGAGCCTATGCAGGAGGTGGTTCCCCTGGGTGGGAAGACTGGCTGGCTGCCTGCACCCCATGGGGTCCTTGTGGGGCTGCCACTGGGTTTTGCAGGAGCAGTTTGGGCCTGGACAGCTGACCTGAGGTCACTTCAGCGGGTGATGGTCTCAGTCTCCTCCTGCAAAGGGCTTGGGAGTCCTGTCTGGAAAGGGCTGGGTTGGGTGAGCCTCTGCCACCCCGAGACAGCAGCTTGCTGAGCAGCCAGGGACTTCACGGGGCCACCTTCACTCCATGCAGCAGCATTTCCATCGTGCAGGCATTTTGTCTCCTTGGTTCTAACTTTGCTCCAGGTGTGGACCTGGAGGAGGGTCACGCTGTGCCTGTTGCAGGGCTGGCAGTGTTTGGGGTTGTTTCTGGGCAGGCTGTCAGCTGAGCTGCCCTGCTTGGAGCAGGCTGGTGGGGTTTTCTTGCCTCCTGACACTGTTCCTTGACTCCTGCCTTGTTCCTTGCAGTCAGGACAGTTCAATGAAGACATGATCCCGACAGTGGGCTTCAACATGAGGAAGATCACCAAGGGGAATGTTACCATAAAGGTAAGAAGCAGATATTATTGCCAGTGGGGAATCTTGGGATGAAAGATGGAATGAGGGGAGATAGATGGGTCTTCTGCTGGAAGTTGAAGGATGCCAGCAAGCCCAGCTGCACTTGGGAAGATCTGCCCTGTTAGGTTCTTGCAGGTACCCACCAGAGGAGATAGTGGGAAGATATAGAAGATCCAGACCTTTGCAGTAAGAGCCAGTACAGGCTGCAAAGCTGAAGGTTTTCTTATGCTTCTGTCTTGCTGGTGGTGACTCAGGAATGTGGTCACCTTGCTGAGGGTGGGAGCACTGGGAAAAACAGGTCGTGGCTTGCAGTGGTGGTTTCTGCCTCGAGCGCCAAGGGAGGGGAGGTTTCTACCCCTTCTGGATCTTTCAAGGGCCCAGGGTTGGACTGGGAGGTAATGGTGAGACAGGCTTGAAAATATGATTGGGGATCTCTGTCTGCTGCAGAAACATTTCCAAGAATGTCCTGAGTGTTTTAAATGGCAAATGTATCAGTGAAAGGCCAGGAGGTGCAGTGGGCATGGAGAGGAGCACCCCAGCTTGGGCCAGGGGGTCCCTCTGTGCCAGCAGAGGCACATCGCAGGAGGTGTTCAACACCCTCCAGCTGCCATTCCTGAGGTGTCTCCTTTCTTGAGTCAGGATCCTCCTCACTAGGTTTGAGCCAAAGAGGAGGGGATGGAGGTGGGTTTGCTGCGTGCCTGGTGCTCTGGCTGGCTGGCTGCATGGGGAAGGGTTATGGGCAGGGTGGTGGGGTAACGCTGCCTTTTCTCTGTCACAGCTCTGGGACATTGGTGGCCAGCCACGGTTTCGCAGCATGTGGGAGCGGTACTGCCGTGGAGTGAGTGCCATCGTGTGAGTATCCCTGAGAGCCCTGTCACCCCCCATCCAAACCGGAGCCGGCAGAGCCGTGGTGTCTTCTCTGCCACAGCCAGACACCTGTGTCGGGAGTTGAGATGCTAGAACTGGTGCCCCCACAGGATTTGAGCACAGGGCAGCCAGGTCCCTGTCAGCATCAGTTGGCCCAGCTCTGTTCCTTGGGTCTTGCCCTTCCTGGCCCCTCAGCTTCTCCTGTGCTTTCCATTCATCACAGGGGCTGAGCAAAGGCCACCAGTGTGGCTCAGCCCTTTCCAAGACGCGGGTTTTAAGGGCAGCTGCCAACAGCCTGTTTCCAGGTTGTGGGGTTTATGTGCTGCTGGATGAATCTTGTGCTGAGAGAAGGGAGTCTCCGTACAGTGCCCGCTGCTGACTGTCAGCAAGTCTCTGAGTGTCCCCACGTGTCCCCTGCTTGCAAACGTTGCAGTAAGCACAGTCCCAGGGAGCCCAGGCTGGGGATGACCTGGCAAGATGCTCCTGGGAAGTGGGCTGCCTGCTCCTAAGGACAAATATCCTGGGAGACCACAGTGGGGTTACTTAAACCCGAGGACTGGGTTTCCGTACTGCCCTTCCCAACGGTAGGTCTGGCAGGTGAGGAGGAGTGAGGGCCACTTGTCCTGCTTCTTGGGACAGTAGTGTCTGGCCCTGCCCTTGGTGATTGTCACCATGTTGGGACATGTCCTTGACACTTTTTATTACAGCAAGCTTTGCTGGAAATTACAAAATCCCTTTTTTTTCCCCACTCCTTTTACTGCCTCCTTCCATATTTTTGTAGTTTTTCCAAAGTGGCTCGTCTGGTTGAGAGGAAATGAAAGGACCTATGGCCATCCAGGTCACGCTGCAGTCTGCCTTCCTCGCCTTGAGCTGCGTCACATCCTTTTTCTCTTGCCTTCAGCCCTCCTGCTCCATCCAGCGTGCTAAAGGCTTATGGTAGTTTTTCCTTCTCCCTGTCATACACATTTTCCTGTGTTCAGCACTTCAGTAGCTAAAGGTTCTTTTCCTATTTATAATAAACCTCACAAGGCCTGAAACTTGCTGGTGTTTCTCACTTCTCTCCCAGCTTCTCAATCTTGAAAATAAAGCCTGCTTTGGTCAGTTCCTCTCCCCAGTTTTGGCTTAACTTGTGTCTTTTGCAGGATGGGTATCTTCCTTTAAGAGCTAAATCCTTCCCTAAACCTCCCCCATCTGCTCAGAGCAGGCATTGCTGACTACCGGCCCTTTGCTTTGTGTCCCGTGCCCAGGATCGCTCCCACTGAGAGATGAGCAGGTCTTTCCCCCTCTCAGGATGACACCTCTTCTTGTCTATCATCAGCTCCTCTTGTCTTCTCCACTTGTCCTCTGTTCTGGATGTCTCCACAGGAGTTGCCACACGCCAATGAACCTTACTTGGGTGCTTGGGAACAACGTGTGTCTTGCATCTTCTTCTGCCCGGGCAGCGCCTGGGCTTCCCTTGTCACCACGTCCCTGCTGTCAGCAGGGTGGTCTGCTGCAGGGATGAGGACAGGGAGGTCCACCCCTTCCCTGGGAGACACGAGGTGCTCTCGGCCCCACATCATTCCTTGGGAAGAGGGGTCCTGGGGGAAGGATCCCCTTATCCATCCCCTCCATGCACTGGCCCAGGAGCCAGCAGGGGTGGTGCAGGTGCCATGTGAGCAAGGTTTGATGGTGGTATAGAGCTCAGCACAGCACCGGGCTGTGGGGACCTCGATGCCCGCACTCAGGAGTGCCCATTCCCTTGCAGGTACATGGTGGATGCTGCCGACCAGGAGAAGATAGAGGCCTCCAAGAATGAACTGCACAATTTGCTCGACAAGCCGCAGCTCCAGGGCATCCCGGTGAGCTGTTGCCTGGATAGGTACCCCCTAGCCACTCGCAGCCCCCAGACTGGTGGCTGCCAGGGTTTGTGGTGAGAGGTTTGCATCTTGCAGAGCTGATTCGAGGAGGGGATCCCCTTCCTCAGGGGTTCCCCTTTCCTGCTGCATTCCTTCGGGAGCTGGGGCAGTGATGCTTTCTAGCCCAGGGCTGGGCCACCCAACAGGGAAGGGAGCTTTAGAAGAGATCAGAACCCATCCCCCCCGATGTGTGAGATCTGTCCTTGCGCATCAATTTACACCTTATTTATGGTGGGCCGTTAAGGTCCTGTCTCCTAGGAGAGCAGCTGCTTGGCTGTGACATTTGCAGGAGGTGGGCTCTGGTGGCGGCGCGTGCCGATGCTTACAGAGCATCCAAAATCGGCATCCTCTGCAAGGAGCTAATTTGAGGATCTTGCCACATAACCCAAACGTTCACTGCCAACTAAATGAAGCTCCCGACATAACGCTCTGTGTTTGCAGCCCTTCTGAGTGTTCTTTTTTGGGAACAAGTCTCTAAATTTAATTTGGGGGATGCTGCGTTACCACGCTGCTGCAGAGGCCCCGACTCAACCCGGGAAGGTGGCTGCAGCCTCCATGCTGTCCTGGTCAGGTGACAGTCGTGTGGCATGCTCTGGGGGGGGTGAACAAGTCCTGCCAGGTGATTATTTTCCCTGCATAGTCTGAGGATGCCTTTGTGGATATGAAAAGCCTTTGATGAGAGATCAATGGATGGTACAAACAGCCAATGCTTTTTTGGGTTGGCTGCCTGTGGAGAGCAGGTTCTTCACAGTGTCTGCAGCTCTCTCCTGCCTGATAACATCGGGTTTAGCCATTTCACTTGACTTTTTGCTCAAAGACAGCAAGAGGCTCCTGGGAGAACATCCTAGATGGCATGACAGATGCTGGTGCCCTTCAGGGACTATGTGCTGTGGGGCCAGCTTCTCATTGAGACTAGAGAGTACACAGGAGATGCTGTGTATGTCCTAATTAAGGCTGTTAATTGAAATGCTCTGCCTTCTGGTTGCCTGATGAAGGGGTTTTCTCTGTCCCGGCACACCCTGGTGAAGTGGCCAGGGCTGTCTTGCATCTCAAGCAGTGTCTGTTTCTGGGTGGCAGAAGCAGGTTCCTGCCTGGTCTGGTGGCAGGGAGCTTCAGGTGTCCCCTTTCCTGCCCTGCAGGTCCTAGTCCTGGGGAACAAGCGAGACCTGCCCGGTGCCTTGGATGAGAAGGAGCTCATTGAGAAAATGTAAGTGTGTTGGTGGCCTGGCGGCCACGGCAGGGCTGTGACACAGTGTGACCCACGCTGGTTCCTGCGGTGCTGTCGCCCTGCTGGTGCTCCTTGCCCTGCCGGGGTGCCCCGGTGGTGCCTGGGGTGTGCTGGGTGACAGGGAGTGTCCCGAGGTGGCGGTGGGCAGGTGGTGTCTGGAGCTGGGAGCCGTGACCGCAGTGCCAGGGTCAGGTCCCACCAGGTCCCACGTGCCACACGGTGGCGTTGGGGCCCGGCACAGCCCGGCACGGGGCTCTGCAGCACTAGGCTCCCGGCTGGGTGCTGCTCCTGGCACCCTGCCACAGCTCTGCTCCGCTCCCTGGTGCAGGCCCCATGCCCCCAGCAGCAAGCAGCCCCTCCTGCTTGGAAGTCGGGTCCTGCTCCAGCGTGTGACACCATTCATGTACCATTCCGTGTTTTGCCACCCTTTGCCATGCTGTTTTGTGGCCTCCTTGCAGCCAGTGCTGCCTCCTGTCCACCTCCTCGCTGCTGGTGGCGATCCCCTCCCCTGAGCTGGGGGACTCGCTGACTCCCAGCGTCTCTGCTCCCCCCCAGTCACCCCCTGGAGATATTCCCTGTCCTGTGGGCACCAACGCAGCTCCTGTGCTGCCAGCCCTGTGCTGCTCCAACCACCCCCTGTCTCATCTCCTGCCTCATCTCCCACAGGGCTGTGTGACCAAGGTTCAGGGAGGGGAGCTGTGGGATTTTGTGGCCAGGCTCTCCATGGGGGCATGTAGTAATGGGCACAGTGTGCTGGTGTCCTTGCCTGACCCACATGCAGGTCCCTGGGAGGCTGGAGAGACGTTGCCCCTGTAAAGTGTCCCTCATCTCAGAGCTGAGGTCTAAAGGGACCTTCAGAAGGCTGCCCGGAGGTGTCTCCCATTGGTGCCACCATGCAGCCCCTGGCATCTGTAGCCAGAGCTTGCTCCTCTCCTGCAGGAACCTCTCTGCCATCCAGGACCGAGAAATTTGTTGCTACTCCATCTCCTGCAAAGAAAAGGACAACATCGGTGAGTACCAGTGTCTTCGGTGCGGTGCTCAGGTGCCGTGGTGGGAGGCAGCCCATGCTTCCTGGAGCAGTGTGCCCATGCTGTTTGCCCAGTGCAGGAGCGGGTGACAGCCCGAGGGAGAGCCCTCTAAATGTCCCCTTGCCTTCACAGACATCACCCTACAGTGGCTTATCCAGCACTCAAAGTCTAGGAGAAGCTGAGATCCTGCGGACTGCAGCTCAGATCGGGAAGATGCCATTGTACAAGCCCATGCCCCTTTTCTCTCCTGCTCTGTCCCTCCAGCTCTCTCTCTAGATGGGTATTTTTAGGGGACCCCAAACTCCTCTCGCATTGAGGTGGAGCCCTTGTTTTTATTGTAAAGAATATGTCCGACTGCCCTCCTCTCCTCTCTGTCTCTTCTTCCCATTTTGACACTGTTCTGTTGTTGTCTGTGTATACAGTATATATATATATGTATATATATTTTAATTTTTTAATTTAAGCGATAGCGCTGTTACTAAACTGGGCCCTGTGAGCAGTAGGAAGGCTGTGGGCTCCCCGAGGCCGGTCGAGGGTCAGCGCTGGGAGAAAGATGAGGGTGGTGGCAGAAGGCAGCCCCTCGGGGATGGGGCTGTGTCAGGCTGCGGGCAGGTCCCTTGGGGCTCCGTTCTCCCTTCTCTGGGTGTCCTGCCTGTACCCCTGGGGAAGAGAGTGTCCTGGGGATGTCAGGAGCATGCCCACCTTCCTCTTCCTTGGGCTTCAGCCCCATGGGCAGGGTTTGGGGTGGAGGTGATGCCGCCCCCCATGTTCCTTGCCCCTGTGGGGGGACAGGGATTAGTCACAACCTGCTGTGATCAGCCTCCCCCCCTTGCCTCCACCTGCTGTGCCACTGCCCCAGCCTCTCTTGCCCTCTCTTGGTCACTTGTCCACCTCTCCCATGTTCCCCCTGGCCCCTGTGCCTGTGCCAGATCCTGCCCTGTTGCCCAGTCCTGCTGCTCTGCTGTGCTGGGGTGGCCATCCAAGGGGGCTGCCACCAGAGCTGGATGGGGGGGCTCAGCAGTCCCTGCGGGGAGCCAGGGGCTCCCTCCTGCCTCCTCCCTGCCCCAGCCACCCCTGGAGGTGGCTCAGCCCTGTGTAGCCTCTCAGGGCGGCCGCACTGCTCCCCACGTGCCAGCAGGCATTGCCTGTACCCGGCTGGGGGCTGCAGGCTCTGCCCCGGCCGAGGACATGGTGGGGACACCAGGGAGGGGGGTGTACATGGAGACATGCAGAGACACACGCGGCGCTGTGAGAGCCCCTGTGTGCCCACAACGCTGCCCGCTGGAGCTGGGGGGTGGTCCCCATGCCCTGCTCCCCACACCGGCCCCCAGCTCTGCTCCCCTGGCGGGGGACATGGGGAGGGGGGGCTGAGTGGGGCATGGTTGGGTCCTTGTCTGCAGGTGGGGAGAGGGCGAGAGGAAATTTGGGGCAGGGGTGGTCAGGAAGGTTGTGCTGTCTGTGCCATGTGATGAGTTGTTGGGTCTCTGCAGGCATCACCTGGGGGCCTGGCCAGGTTGTTTGGGGCCAGTCCTGGGGGGGACACTTAGTTGAGCTAGGGGGGACATGCTGGCGTCAGGAAGGTGGGTGTGTAGTGGGGTCAAGTCAGTGGCACAGCAGGGAGGCGGTGGCCCAGGGACAGGGGTCTGCAGGGCCCCTCTCCCAACCCCTTCCCCTGCTCGGCTCGGCTCTGTTCTCGTTTTTGCAGAATTGCACAAAGAGAGATTTCCTTTTTCTTTTTTTTTTTTTTTTTTTAATTCCTTTTTTTTTTTTTTTAAGAGATATTTTGGCTCAGATTCGACCTCTGTTCGGAAATGATTCTTGTAACTGTACAATTTTTTTGCCTCCTAATAATAATAAATTAACAATTTTGCGTTGTGGGGTGTGGTTACAGTCACGTTACTTCCTCACTGTCACTCATCCCTCCTTGGTGCTGTGCCCGCGCCTCAGAGAATGGGGTGGGGGTCCCTGTCCCCCAGGCAGCACCAGATACCTGCATGGTCGTTCTCAGCTCTGATGGCTCTGGATGCCTGGTTATCTTCACCTGGGTGCGAGGACGGGCTCGGAGACCTCTGGCTGTGGCCAGGACCTTCCTCTGCCCCCACATCGTGTCCCAGGGCTGCCACAGGGCCCTGCTTCCATGCTGGCTTTGGAGTGGGGTTGCTGCAGGGCTCTAGCTGCCTCTCCCTGCCCCCTTGCCGACACCAGCCCCTTCCTGGGGGCTGTGGCCATCGCTGGCGGGGGCGGCCCCGCCCCGCGTCCTCTGGGGGGGCTGATGCCTGCCCTGCCCGCAGGGCTGTGCTCTGTGCTTTACCCGGGTGCTGGGGCTGGCATGAGGGCTGGGGTTCAGCCCGGCCCGTGGGGTGCTCTGCCTGCTGCAGGGCTGTGTGTTGCCCACAGCCCATGGTGATGGTGCTGCCTGCACCTTCCCTTCCCCCCGCCCAGCTCTTCTCCCCACGCATCCAGCCCCACGGGGCCACAGCAACAAGCCCGGCTTTGTTTGCCCTTGGCCCAGGCTCAGGACAGAGCTGCACGGACCAAGCGCGTGAGAGCTGCCCCTGCTCCCTTCCTCCCACCCCCACCAAGCCCCTACAGGGACCCACTCACCCCATCAGGGTGCAGGGGGGTGAGGTCACAGTGGGCAGCCTGGCCTCTGCTTCCCCCCTTCCATCCCTGTGCCAGGATGAGACCCCTCTTCTCTCTGCCTGCTCCTGAACTGTGGGGCCCAGCACTGGTCGGGGGGAGGAAAGGAAAAACCCATTTCTGTGCTCTTGGAAGAAAACTGGGGCTTTTGTTTCCCTGGAAACGGGGCTGCAAAAGCAAAGCCCGGTGGGTGTCGATGCTGCACAAAGCCTGCAGTGAGCCCCTCGCATTCACCCGGCCGTAGCAACGGTCTCCCTTGCCCCGGCATTTCGTGGGCTGGGGCGGATGCCAGCGGCAGGACAAGGAGCTTTAACAGCTCTGCTGGTCGGGGCCGGCATGGCCAGCCTGCCCTCAGCCGATGCACTCCCCGAAACCCACCCTGGGTGCAGGAGCCTTGAGCAGGGGATGGATGTGGGGCTTGGAAACCCTGGTACCCTGAATCAACATCCTGGGACAATTTTGTCCCTGCGATGGGCAGGTGGATGGAGGCTGGGAGCCCTGCACGGGGCTGTGTGGATGACGTGCTCACCCCGTGGGCTCCCCAGGGGGTGCTGGGGGTGGTGGTCCCACGTGGGCACCCCCAGCACTGCACAGCAGCACCGTGGTCCTGTAGGGTGCAGAGCACCTCAGCCTAGTGCTGGGCCGGGCTGGCTGGGACCAGTTTGAGTCCTGCAAACCACCCCAAGCCCAGACCCTCCCAGGGGCAGGCTCAGCACCAGCTCGCTCGGCACCACCCCAGGGGGAACAGGGCAGAAGGACTGGGGACCGTTCCCCACCTCCCTTAGGTGCTGCCTGACCTGGCACGGCTGCTTTCCTGCCCTCATGCCCACCCAGCTGCCCATGCCCACCCCAGAGCCCCCATGTTTTAAAAGGAAAGAGCCATCCAACCCCAGATGCTGGCTCCCCAGGGCTCTGCTCGGCGGTGCTGGATGGCTGCGTGTGCGACGTGCTCTAGGTTACTGGTTTATTGAGCTCTTTCTTACAGGGCACTGCTTGGATCTGGTGGGATATAATCACTTGGACCTTCTACTGTGGAGGGGGCTGGCAGGAGGGGTCAGGACAGGACAAGAGCAGTTTGTGTTTTCTATGTCATCTGCAAGCCACCATGGAAGCCCTCTAGTTTCAGATGGGACCTTTCTGGCACAACTCCATCTCCAGAGCAGCAACCCCTCTGAGCCTGGCCAGGCAGCCAGGATGGGAGGGTGCTGATGTCCTTGCTGGCCTTTGGGCAGAGGCAAGAAGGCTGCCAATGTAGCCATGGGGACTGGGATTTCAAGCCCCACTTGCCCATGGTGGGGTTTGAAGCCCATGGCACAGCCCCCTGAGCTGTCTCTTCTGCTTGCTCCATGTCCAGACACAGGCACTAATGGCAAAACGTTTGGTCTTGGGAGGAGGCGGTGGAACGATCTCTACAGCTCCCTGGTGGCACTTAGCAAGGTGTGCCAAGGGCCAGGAGGGGTGGAGGGGACTCCCGGGGCTTGTCAAAGAAGATGGAGGAGGACATCTCCGTTTTGAGCTTGCTGTCGGCGCTGCCCTCACTGGAGGCAGTGTCGGGGCCGCAGCCCTCACAGCAGCAGCAGCAGCAGTCCATGAAGGCCTGGCCCAGGGGTCTGCAGAGGCACAGGAGCAGGATGGGCGTCACCGAGCATTTGAAGAACAGGAAGAACTGGTTGATGAGGTTGAGCAGGTCCAAGGTCTGCTTGGACATGTCAGGGGACATATAGGCCACCACGATGTTGCAGACATTCTCCGGGGTGGTGCAGAGCCCGTAGATAATGGTCAGCCCGATGATGGTGCAGTTCAAGTGACTCTCACACTGGCTGTGCTTGGTCCCACGGCACTCGCTCTTCTTCTCGGTGCCGCTGATCCTCCGGGTCACCAGCTGGCAGCTCACGGTGAAGAGGATGGGCAAGCAGAAGTAGCAACCAAAGTACCACCACATCCGGGCATTTTGATAGGTAAGCACCAGTGAGTAGACAGACTCAGGCAGGTTGGACGAGGGCTTCATGGTGCAATACTCTGTCACTATGCCGGACACGGGTGACGTGTCCTGCACCAGCTGCCAGAGCAGGATCTCTGGCACCGACAGCGTCATGGAGCCCACCCAGATGACTGCCAGCTTGGCGATGATGGACTGACACTGCTCGATGGGCCGGGCACTGGCCTGGGGGCTGGTGGCTGCGTGGAACCTGTCGATGCCCAGGGCACAGAGGCTGAAGGTGGTGACTCCCAGTGATGATACCTGGTGAGGGGGGATGCAGAACAAGTGGCCGTGCTGCAGGGTCATCCCAGGGGGCTTGACTTCACCAGGCTGGTGGCAAACCCCTGGCTAGCCAAGACCACAGCTTGAGACCCTCCAAGGCTGTAGGGAGGTCACAACCTGTGGCTGCATCCCAGCTTTAGAGCCACTTTTCTGTGACTCCTGAGAGGGCAGTGGATAAAAATGTCCCTTGACCTGTTTGTCCCTACCCAGCTCCCTTTTCTGCAGAAGGGAGAAGCTTTGGTGGATGTCTGTCTGTCCAGCTGGGGTGGGAATAGCAAAAATGTCCATCATGCTCTTCCTCTGTTCTGAAGAGGGACCATCACACCCACCAACACCTTCCCAGGGTCCCCAAGCCCCCCACAAGCTGCCCCAGGCTGGCTTGTCCCTGCCCTGCTCTGCAGAGTTGCTGCTTCCTGGACAGGGCAAATGAGTTAAAGACACCGTTGTCACAAATCAGCTTGGGGCAATTTCCGCTGCATTGAATATGGCAGGAAAAACATCCCCTTTGCCAAAGAGAAGAGGCCAAAGGAGGCAGAGGAATCACGATGGCTCTGGGAGGGCTGGTAAGGCACCGGAGGTCACAATCAGCATTCACAGTCCCAGCCCCAGAGCTGCAGCTTTGCTCAGAGCCAAGTCCCACAGCCCTTGGCCAGAAAAATGGCAGAGTCACATGCTGGTGCCCCCCAGCCCTGTGGCCGTTCCTGGCCTCACAAAGCCATCAAATGTCACCCTGTGCTGAAGGACCTTCCCAGCACTCAGGAAACCACCCAGGGCTCTGCAGGATGGCTGGATAGCAGCCCGAAACAGGCCTGGCGCTGCCCCCCCTGCCCCTACCCCCACCTTTTCCAGTGGTCCTGGGTTGGCCCCTTCAGCAGCTCATGGCCAACACTGATGCCAAGCACCAGCATCACCATTTGGTTATGCACAGCAGCATCCCCCTGGCCACAACATCGGGGCACCACCCTGCACCCATCCCCACCACCCAACACCCTGCTCATGTCCCAGCTCCTCAGCCCAATGCCCAGAGCCACCCTGAGCATTCAGAACCCTTGCTCTGCCCCACAGTCAGCACCAAGCACACTTGCCCGGCTCCCTGGCTGGCAGCTGCAGCCATCCCAGTGCTGCTGTGTTGCTGCCTTTCCTCTCCCCCTACACCCTCCCACAGGCTCTTTTGTTTCTCCCGGTCCCCTCAGTCCTGGCGTGTAACTCGGACATGGCAGAGCATCCTCCCCAGTGCCCTGGCAGGGATGCAGCTGGTGCCACTGGTCACCCCAGGCACATCCCTGCATACCGCCTGTCACCAGGAGCCCATGTAGCCAGCTCTGCTCCAGAAACCTGGCTTTGTGCCCCCCCGCAGGGCATTTGAGTCGCTACAAAGTGGAGGACAGAAGGTTTGCTCCTTACAGAGTTCATGCAGCAGCCTGAAATGCTTGCACAGTCCCATCCTGAAAGGTTGGACATGAACTGCTGGACTGCAGACTGATTTCCTCTCTCATGGCTGACCCTGGGCTGGGGATTTAGCTCTGGCCTGGCCAGGCTCTCCTACCCAGGCAGGTGCTGGGTCCCAGGTGAACAGAGAAGCTCTGAAGCCCATTTCTGCCCTTGCTCTGGGGGCCAGAGGCAGGAGGGCAGGGTAGGACTGGTAGCTGGGGTGGCAGAGAAGGAGTAGCCTCCTGGGTGGACCTCAACAGGACTGTGACTCCCCAGGGCTGTGCCATGCCCATCCTTCAAGCAGCCCCAACATCCCACCATCCTTCCTGCCTCCTTCAGGGACTGAGCTGTCTCAGGGGCACCCTGGTGCTGTTCAATCCCTGTATCTGGAGGTGCCACCCACAGGGACATGGCCAGGGACCCCATAAGCAACTCAGGTCGTGGAAGATTCTTCTCAGGAAGGGTTCTGGTTTGAGGACATCACCCTTCCCATCCTTACCCGGGGTGCTGACCCTGCCTGCCTGGGCAAATACGGGTCCAT